GTGCACCTACACTGACATCACCTGATTTTAGGACAAGAAATTGTGCATCTCCACTGACATCACCTCTGCTGCATAATCTGGATTTCAGGACAAGAAACTGTGCACCTGAACTGACATCCTGCAGCGGATGCAGAGCCCTCAAAGCACAGGAAATGCTGCACTTCAAGGGGGGGGGCCTTGCATGGGAAATGGCCTTGCTGGAAAGTACAAACAGCTCAGCACCTGCCCCCCTCCCATCTCCGGGTCAGGGAGGGTTTCATGAGTCAGGATTTAGAAAATGAGGAGGAAAACGTGGGGCTGTGGCAGCTGCCTGAGGCTCTAGCCACGTCTGAGCGGCTCTGAGTGTGTGCAGGGAGCAGTGGATGTGTGTGGGTGGATGTTTATGATGGATCTGTGCTCGTGTTCTCACCTTGAGCTGTTTAGGGATAAATATTTAAAGGCGGCCGTGTCCAAACCCCAGTCAGTTCATTACACACTGCAAAGAAAAGCAGCTGCTTGCTGAGACTGACTAACTCCAAAAACGAGTTTATAAAGGAATGAAGTAGGTCCCTTAGATGGCAGGAACTGCCTTCAGACCCGCCAGGGAGATCGATAGGAGCGGATCAATGCGAATCTCGGAGGAAGGAACGTTCCTGAGGCTGCAGAGGAACGACTCGTCTGCCCCACCCCCTGCAGCTCCCACAGCACTGGGAGCACTGGAAAAAAGGCACCAAAAGATACCTGGTCAGCGAGACCTGCCCAAGAGTTAAACTGCTTTAGCATATTTGGGGTCTGGGGGGAATTTTCCCCCGTGTCAGGGCAGCAGTGACCGGGTTTGGAGGGGTGGCTTTGCCTTCCTTTGCTGCCTCAGAGCAGAGCTCAGAGAAGTGGGGACTTCACCCGAGAACTTTCCTGCTGTCGCAGTCTGTGGCATCACTGAAGCTCCAGATCTCTCCTGCTCCACTCCTGGGATGTGTTGCAGCCTGATTTTTGGGGCTCTCACTGCAGAAAGCACCGGGAGCAGCATCCCAAGGGGAGGCTGGCACTGCTGGCACTGCTGGCACTGCATCCACCCCACGGTCCTGGCAGCCACAAACAGGGCCCAGCACCTGCAATCCTGCCCTCGAGCCCTGCAGGGAGAGGTTTTAAGGCCAGGTTGACCATGCAGCAGCTGTTGTCATTATTAAATCCGTTTTACTGAGGGATGCTGAGCCATGGAGACAACGGTGCCTTCACCCAAAATCTTTGGACCAGGCCAAACCTCCCCCTCAACCTTCTGCACTGCAGATAAAAGCAGGCAAACTGATTCCCAGACAAGTGCCTTTTTTTTTTTATTATTTCTTTCCTTTTTTCTCACCACTGTCATTTTTGAAGGTGTGAACAGGTCACAAATTCGGATTTGTGGTCAGCTGGGAAGGAGCTGGGGCAGCCTGGCAGCCACTGGCACCTTCCACAAACCACACGGTTGTTCTGGAGCATCAACCTTTGTGGGCTCGGGATGTAAAGCTGCCTCCCCACACGATAAAAGCCCCACCTTAATCACTCCAGGTCCCAAGTTCAGCAGACAGGCTCTCTCCTAATGATATTCTGTTAAATGGACAAATGTCTTTGAAGGCTTGTCTTGCCTTGAAATCCAATTTCCCAGGCAGGCAGAGGCGATTGGGTGTAGCTATGGAAACAAAGCCGGGCAGCCCGAGAGGAGCTGAGCGCTGCGAGGTGAGGATGTGAGAGGCAGAGCCCTGTCGGAAATATCAAAGGATCTGGAGAGGTTGGCAGGAGACGTGTCCCTGTTCCGGGCTGTTCTGTGTGGCTGGGTACCGGCGCCTGTCAGGGAAGGTGAGCAGCCAGCTGGGCTGTCACAGCCGGCACTGGAGCTGGATGCACAAATCGGGGG